CCGTGCAAACATAGTATCTAGAGCATCTAAAATAAAGCGTATGAATTGACAAAAAGCCGCAATATAAGATAGCGGAAAGGAAAAGAAGAAAGTGAAAAACAATAAGTGCAGTAAATGGGAACCAGCGCCGTCGGATCATCGAAATCAATTAGGCTTCATTATAATTCCATTTTCATGCATGACACACAAGAACGGAAGGAAGGGAGCGGGAGAATTTTACGAACAGAAAATTGGACTAGACTTATATAAGCCAATTGAGCCTCTGGCACAAGTTTGACAATCTTTCCGGTCTCGCCTTTGTTGGGGTGTAATAATAATTAAATATGTTGATAAAAGTGTACTCATTCAATTACTGAGGAGAAGGAGAAAATACAACAGAAAAAAAATAAATAAATTGAAAAAAATTTCAACGACAGAGTGAGAAAACAATAAAGCATGTAAGCGTAGCCGTAGTAGGATAGCGAGGAATATATATACACTAAATAGTGCATGCCGCAACATAAGATAGAAAATAGATTTATGTAAAGAGAGTGCCACACTCGCAGCTTAAAATAAGCACACGGTTCTTGAGTGGTATAATGCATTGAGTCTTGTCATAATTAAGTAAACCACCTTCCAGTTATATACATGTGCATGAGCGTAGATATAGAAAAAGAGAAACTTAGATGAAACCGAAATGAAGACGACGTATAGCCATACGGCCAACCACTCTCTCTTCTCCCTCCTCACTCTCTCTACTGCGGTTCTTAAAAGATTTCAAAAACAAAAATATATCCACAAGAATAGAGTAGGGTACTCAAAATAAGAAAACATCACGGTGGCGCGTATCACCAAACATACGAATACGAGGTAGCGCAAGTAAAAGGAGATCTGTTAGACTGGATGGATTACGCATGGATGCAGGCGAAAATATTATTAGGAGAAGATGCAGGATAGTTCGGGTTTTAAAAAATGGAGGGCCCCTTTTACTAATCTGTTATAGATTGTTAACAGATACCTACCAGCACAGTAGACAATGAACGGTGATAAAGGCAACATCAGAAAACAGCATCTCTGCAGCTGATGAATGAACTAAAAATATTATTAGCAATAATGGAAAAAGAGGGGGGATAGCTATAGTAAAAAATTAT